CCTCTCTCTCTCTCTCTCCTCTCTCTCTCTCTCTCTCTCCCTCTCTCCTCTTCCTCTCTCTCTCTTCTCTTCTCTTTTCTCTGTCTCTGTCTCACACACGCTCCCACGTATCCCAAAGTCTGTCTGAGGTCAGTAAGGAATTTTAAAGTCATCAGCCACTGCACAGTCCTCGTCGTCAACCAGACCAGTAGTGCGCTGAGTTTATCGTGTGAGGGGGGCTATCAAAAACACATAGTAGTGTTTTACTGTTATATATATATATATATATATATATATATATATATATATATCGCTCTCTCACTGCTCACTCTCTTTAGAAACTCTTTAGAAACTTTGGCAAGCAACCCTGGGACTTTGGGTGAAGGCGAATAATTGGTAATATGGTAGCCCTAATGGGAAGCGCAAGCGATGCGCAAACCGGCGACCTTCCGACGTTCTCAACTTTACACCCAGTGCAGGCTGAAAGGCGTCCTTTCCGTTCTTTCCTCACTGTTGTGCGGCTTTGCGTCGTTCGGGAAGGCGCAGAAAGTTGTTTGCGTCGTCAATTCTATTTTCACCGGTATGCGAATAGTTTTTTTAGCTTTTAGCAACTTAAGCTGTTACATTCAGTGTGCTTTTTAAAGAATTATATCGATATTATGGTGAATGACCTATTTCGGCTTATGCATAAGTAGATCTGACAAAATAAGGGCCAAGTCTAGTCAGTGTTCGGGAAAAACGGTACCGTTTCATGAACTGAGCTGTGGCCAGCTTAGTTACCTTGCTATTCATATGCTACTATCAATTAGGAGGGGTTGATAGTGGTAGTGAAGGGATGCTTTACATTTGATGATATTGAAGCAAGCATCAAACACAATGAAACAAGTTTGTTTGTGACTATAAGCTAATTTGTGAAATGGAAAAGACTATTCTAGACAGCACAGTTCTTTGCTTACTAAACATGCTTCTCAAAGCACCATGCATTTATTACATCATTGCACCTTGCACTGCATTGATGGGCAGACAATTGGCTTTTGGTCTTGATCATAGCATCACTTATGGGATGACAGGATTTGAGTGATGTTATTATAATGTTATGAATACACAACAAGTTAACTTTGAAATGTTTTTCCTGATATTCCTTTCACTATTTGTGTGGGTGTGTGGCTTAGATCTCAAAAAGGGCAGGGTTGCAAATAGCACTGAAAGGTCTTTGAGGTGACCTCCTGAGTTCAAAACCCCATGTAAATGGGGAACATTTTCTTTAAGCTGCCAAGGCTCATGGTCATGGAAAGGATGTCATACAGTGCTGCTGATGGCCTTAGACGGGATCATATCTATCCCACAATACTCACTTCTTTTTTGAGTGCATGAAGATAAAGAGTAAAATATCTTGGGATCTAGCACATCAAGAAATCCCCCATATTTCAGACATGTTGTCAGTGCTAGAAAGTAACTTGCCAGTCTGCAACAAGTCCATCCCCTGCACTGAATGCTAACAGGATATTGGTGGTGTCGAACTTGTGCTTATGTGTGCCAAACTCAAGCCAGGCCAAAATATAATGCCTTCATGTTGCCTGTATGTGAAGAGAGTACGTTCAAGAACATGTTTGCCCAAAATTACTTTTGCAACATCATGATTCATTGAAACATTGACCATGTGCTGAAGTTGGCAGTAAATATGCACCAAACAATGTTCAGATTAATAGCACACATGAGTTAATATTGATGATTATAATACTTGATCATGAAATGGCAGCAAGGCTGCCTAGACCCCATGAAGCATAGCTGCAAAATGCATCATCCCCAAAGTAGGTATCATTTATTCACATCTTTACTTACTTGTGCATTTCTCTGCAATGCACATAATGTGTAGTTTGTACCTACCATATGCACATTTGATGCAATGATATCCATTGGTTTAGGTGCCACTGCCATTTATGAATGCATTGCTGGCTGATAAAGAGGCTGTAGTGTGTCATGTGTGTTGAAGTGCTTAGAGCCCTAAATAAGTTGAAGCACATACCCTGTCAACATGCTATAGGCATGCAGCCAGAAATTAAGAAAGGATGTTATGGGTTCATGGCTCATTTATCATACTTACATTTTAAGGTCTCATGACAGCACATAAGATACTGACATCTAAAATAAGACACTTAGGCACTGTACAGGGCCCCTAGGACTATTGTTGGGGAGAGGGGGGGTAAGGCAGGGATGCTTGCAAGGTAGTTTGACCACCAGGTTTGCCCCCTCTCCCAGGCCATTCGCTACAGTTTGAATACACCCAGGTACCTGTTTATTAAATGGGCAGCAAACCCAGAGGAAGTTGCCATGCTTTGAGGTTATCACAAAAACATTGAATTTTGCACAGGTATTGCTACTGCTTGTCATGATGTAGCATTCACAGGAACACCCTGTTGGATGCAGAAGCAAATTATTTTCATGACATCTTGGGGGCTCCCCTCCCCATCCGAAAAATGCTGTGAAAGCTATAGATAGCAGTAAGCAGAAGCGTAGCTGCCACCATTTGGCGTCTGATTTCCAATAATCAACAAGCTAGAGTATATAAGTACATTAATATGGGGGGTTGGCCCACATTGCTGGTAAGGTTGACAAGACTTTAATGCTCATGATGACATGGAGTTTGTCTCCTTTGCTTATGCTGTAGTGAACTTTCCATGTACTCTACTGGATTGTCATGACTAGGTCTGTATTGCTGCAAGCTATTGTAACTCCTCACACAATTTAGTACAAGAGTAGCTTGGGCTCTTAGTCTGCCGAGCAAATACTTTGGTTTCAAGTAGATGAAACCAATGTAAGATTTCCTGAGCCTGATCAGGTTTGATTGTATCATCATAACAGTTTTAAGAAAGGCCCTATACTTCCAGCTTTCAAGTAAAATGAATTCATAAAATGAATAGCAGTCATAAGATTGATGACACTTAGACTACCTTGGAACCATTTTATTGATAGCAGTGCCACATGTCATGGGTAAAAGATGTCCTAGTGTTCTGGGTTTTTGGGTATATTAAGTTTGTAAAACAGCCTACTTTCTAGATACTGGGAGGCATTGGTTAAGCTGATATAATGTTGGAGGACAGTAGGACGATCCACCCATAGAAGCGATTTCTGCACAATGTTATGTACCCGCTGCCTGGGTGTTATAGGCAGTCGTGTGTCTGCCTCATGACCCATGTTCATCCCAGTGGTCCTCTGAGAGTGTCCTCAGAGAGCTGCATGAAAGTTAGTCTTTCAATTCTTTGTGGTGAGATGACCTCACTGAAGGGGAAAACTTCTGGTCAGGGTCATGGAGTAGGCTTCTCTGGCAAAGTCAGTTTTTTAAAGATTTGGTCAGAACCTTTCAGATGAATACATTTCTGGGACCCAAGCCCACATTGCGCAGCTCTTTGCACAAGCCCTGCTCCACCATGTGGTCATAGGGTGGCTGGTGCCTCCAGTCGCAGGTCACCTCAGGCAAAGACAAATACTGGGCGCATAAATCGACTCGAAGCCATCTCGCCAGGGGTGGGTGGATCAGAAGCCAGACGCTTTAACCAACTGAGCTATCAGCACTGATGTGTTCGCTAGGTTTGTTTATTGGACACCCAGACCCTGCCTTTGCATCATAGCGTTCCTTTTAGTAAACTGGTGAAACAGTAAACTCATTGTACTTAATAAAAGGTATGCTCATACTCATCCACTAACTGATATTGGATAAGTGAAATGCTCATTGGAACGAGCCAAATGCCAGGAAGTGTCCATGTGTGGCTGTATACACTGGCCGGAAAACGAAGCAATTTTTTCATCTCCAATGTTTGAATACTATCCCATATGACTGAAAAATCCTGTCAGCATGTCATTCCATCGACAATATGTGAGGAGTGATATACATGGCATGTTCGAGCTGTGTACATATAAGCTCAGTGCAGACCACAGGCTGGCAGCCATTCTGCTCTTTGTTCTGCAGGCCTTGGGCGGAGGTCACCGGCCGCAGGTGGTGTGCGTGTGAGGCCGCGGGGGGGCGGCGCCCGCCGGCTGTCGGCAGCGGCCGGCCGACATGGCCGCGCGGGCCGTCAAGTGGCTGGCGTTGGCCGTCATCACGCTGCAGACGACGGCGCTGGTGCTGGTGCTGCGCTACTCGCGCGCCAGCACGCCCGGCCCGCCGTACCTAGCCAGCACGGCCGTCCTGCTCACTGAGCTCTGCAAGCTGGTCGCCATCGTGGTCACCATCTGGCTGGAGAACGGTGAGTGTCCCCGACCGCCCGACCACGCACGGCGGCCCAGGCCGAGCGTCCGCATGGACTGTGTGTGCGTGCGTGTGTGCGTACGTGTGTGCGTGCGTGTGTGCGTACGTGTGTGCGTGCCACTCCAGGCATGGTACGTTGGACGTCTCACGACGGTGCTGCATGCGGCGCTCTCGTGTCCGCATGCTCGGTAATTGCGCGTCTGTACGCTACACTCATGCCATGTGCACCGGGTTCCTGGCTATAGGGATTGTGTATGCCGGAGGCGAACTACGTGCAGCGTACCCAGCCACGTTACTGTGGCATGCTCGCTTCGCTGACCCACTATCCGACAAGAACTCGGGCGAATTCTTGCCCAACTTTGATATGTCTTCGGTTTTACCTGCAAAAGATGATGGGACAGATTTAGCTTCAAAGGGCATGCTTAATAAACGTCGCCATAGATGCATGCGCCACCTGGGTGCTTTTATGACACAGCCTTTGAACACAGACATGACACAGCCTTTATGAGCCTCTGTCATGTGTGTACTGACAGCCTGTGTGAGCCTGTATGCTGTGTGTACTGTCACAGCCTATGTAAACCTATGTGGCATGTGAGTACTGACAGTCTGTGCGAGGCTCTGTGCCATGTGTGTACTGACAGCCTATGTAAGCCTATGTGGCATGTGAGTACTGACAGCCTGTGTGAGCCTCTATGCCATGTGTGTACTGACAGCCTGTGTGAGCCTCTATGCCATATGTGTACTGACCCCAGCTGTGTGTCATATGTGTACTGACCCTAGCTGTGTGCCCTGTGTGCACTGACCCCGGCCGTGTGTCGTGTTTGTGCTGACCCCAGCTGTGTGCTGTGTGTGTACTGACCCCAGCTGTGTGCTGTGTTTGTGACCCCAGCTGTGTGTCGTGTGTTTTCTGACCCCGGCCGTGTGCCGTGTGTGTACTGACCTTGGCTGTGTGTCGTGTGTTTTCTGACCCCGGCGGTGTGCCGTGTACTTTCTGACCCCGGCCGTGTGTCGTGTGTGTACTGACCCCGGCCGTGTGCCGTGTTTGTACTGACCTTGGCTGTGTGTCGTGTGTGTACTGACCCCGGCCGTGTGCCGTGTGTGTACTGACCCCGGCCGTGTGTCGTGTGTGTACTGACCCCGGCCGTGTGCCGTGTTTGTACTGACCTTGGCTGTGTGTCGTGTGTGTACTGACCTTGGCCGTGCGTCGTGTTTGTACTGACCCCCGGCTGTGTGCCATGTGTTTTCCGACCCCGGCCGTGTGTCGTGTATGTACTGATCCCGGCCGTGTGCCGTGTGTGTTCTGACCTTGGCTGTGTGTCGTGTGTGTACTGACCTTGGCCGTGTGTCGTGTTTGTACTGACCTTGGCTGTTTGTCTTGTGTGTACTGACCTTTGCCGTGTGTCGTGTATGTACTGACCCCCGGCTGTGTGCCATGTGTTTTCTGACCCCGGCCGTGTGTCGTGTGTGTACTGACCCCGGCTGCGTGCCATGTGTTTCTGACCTTGGCTGTGTGCCATATGTGTTCCGACCTTGGCTGCGTGCTGTGTGTGTACTGACCCCGGCTGTGTGCCGTGTGTGTTCTGACCTTGGCTGTGTGCTGTGTGTGTACTGACCCCGGCTGTTTGTCTTGTGTGTTCTGACCTTGGCTGTGTGGTCGCAGGCCGCTCGATCGGCCGGCTGGCGTCTGTGATCGGCAGCGAGGTGCTCGGCAAGCCGCGGGAGACACTTCGTCTATCTGTGCCCAGCTTTCTCTACACCATCCAGAACAACCTGCAGTTCGTGGCGCTCACAAATCTGGACGCGGCCACCTTCCAGGTCGGTAGGGAGGGCCCATCCGGGCTTCTCAGGCCAGTCCTGAGCCCTCTTCGGGTCAGGCCTGAGTCTTCAGCTCAGTCGTGGGCCATTCTCAGGTCAGTCCTGAGCCCCCAGGTCTGCCCCGCGCCCTTCTCAGGCCAGGCCTGGGCCCGTCTCAGATCAGTTCTGTGTGCGCCTCACACGCAGGGCGCCGCGCTGTCCCCCGATGCGGCCTTCCATTGGGATAATCTAGGTAACCTGTAATGCCGAAACAGGCGCTCCACGAACCTTTCGTTCTTCAAACCGCATGCCACTGTGCTGTATATCTGCTGCAAATTGCCGCCAGTGAACCAAACGATCAATGCTGGTCCTTTGGTGTGTTGTGGATGTTTCTCTTCATGCCAGTGTTGAAGGCTCATGTGTCCCAAGTTCCTTCTGTTTTCATCCGTGTGGATACGCGTTTTGCTTGGCTGCATTGTGGTATTTACCACCACATCGCTAGCGTCACATAGTCGGTGTGCCCTGAAACCCCAATCATCATCATCGTCACGATATGATGCGTGCCGTCAGGTGTCGTACCAGCTGAAGATCCTCATGACGGCGCTGATGTCTTCGCTGATGCTGAAAAAGCGGGTGCGGCCGCACCAGTGGCTGGCATTGGTCGTGCTGGTGACCGGTGTCTGTCTGGTTCAGGTTGGTCTTTGTCGCTGCTGTGCTTGCTGGTGACCGGTGTCTGCCTGGTTCAGGTTGGTATTCGTTGCTGCCGTCCGTGCTGGTGACCGGTGTCTGTCTGGTTCAGGTTGGTCTTTGTCGCTGCCGTGCGTGCTGTCCCACAAGCCAGTGGAGGTTACACGGGAGGTCTACTCTGCGCTGAGAGTAGTTTGGTGTGGTTTGGTCAGTGTATAGTCAGTTATCACCCGCACTGAGCATGGCCCGACAGGGTCTGGGCTGAACAAGGTGTGGTTGGTGTGGGCGGTGGAGGCTAACTATGGCACGGTCCCGACCTAAACGGCCTGCTGTAGCGTCCACCATGCGTGGCGTGAGCGGGCGCTGACCTGCCGGCCCGTCGGCAGGCGCCGCGGGCCGACCCGGCCGCCTCCCCGGAGAGGGGCAGTAGCCTGCTGGGCCTGTCGGCCGTGCTGGCCGCCTGCGTCTCCAGCGGATACTCCGGCGTGTACTTCGAGCGCGTCGTCAAGTACGGGCCGCCGCAGTCCCTCTCCATACGCAACCTGCAGCTCTGTACGTAATGTAGAACATGTGACGGTCATGCCCCAGCCTTGGCCGCCTGCCAGATATGAAGAGCTCTGCCCAGGCGCTGTTTCGTTGTCCTTTTCTGGCGCCGTCAATGAAATGTCGCCAAGTTGCGCGGCTGTCACGAGATGCCACCACCGGTGCATTTCATAGCCGCGATGGGTTCACTTTACTCGTGTTGATTACGGGTTGTAGATAAAAGTACCTATGGGAAAAGCGTGCATGGCAGTTAATCATAGGATAAGTTCGTTTGCTGTTCTTAAGTTCGTAACGATAATGTGCGTAGGGCACAAAGCTGGTGTAAGATGAAGTTCATGTTACCACATGAACTGTCAAGCGGAAGTAGAGAGTATAACTGCCAAAATGGTTCAGCGGGAGAAAATCGCAACAAAAACGTTCGTACGCGTATAACTTTGCGAGAACAATTCCGTACGCAGCTGTTCGGACGCAAACATGGTTAGGAATGCAGTTCAAATGTCGAAAGTGTAGACGGAGAACCTGACATGTCGATGCGATAGGTAAGAACGCAAAGTTCGCACACAAATGTGCCTGAAGGACAAGGTTTTGACAACGGACGTACTCAAAAGGATGTGTGCAGATGCGTACCGGAAATTCGAATGCAGATCCCCACGGTTGGCACGGGGTGTGAAATAAAGGGTCACTGGGGGGATCGCCTCCCGTTAATCGCAGGGAAGACATATGGCGAGTAGCGGCGTACAGTGCCAACTGCTTAGGTCAGATCAAGTATTAGGATCGTTATGCTGCTCCATATCATGAACCTATACGCCGTCCGGCTCCCCGCAAACCAACCTGAATCAATGTGGAGCATTGCAAAACGTCCCGTGAATGGAAGGAACGATGAAACATCAAAAGATTATGATGCTGATCACGCGGAGTGCTTGTTCCCTTGATTTATCACCCTGACGGGGACAAACAAGGTTATTATCAAAGCGGTTGCTGCCGGTGCGTCTCTCTCGACTTCTGGGCCGTAGTTTCTTTCATATAGGCAATCACATACCGGGCGTCCCCTGCGCGTCTGCCCGCCGTGTTCCACAAACGAGCTGACTCCTGCTGCGGCCGTCAGCTGGCGCGCTCCGGAGGCGCCAGCGAGAGACATGGACAGGGACGGCGTCAGGGTGATAAATCAAGGGGAGCCACAAACACACCGAGTGATCTGCGGTGTGATTTTGAGTTTTTTTTTGCCGGTTCCTTCCATTCGAGGGACATTTTGCAACGCTCTCTTTGATCCAGGTTCATTTGCTGGGCGCCGGACGACGTTTAGTTTTACGATTAGCTCTTTAGGGCTCTTTATGCCTTTATGGTGACTTTAATATGGCTCTTTCAGTTCAAAGCCTCATAAAAATGTGGGGCGCTCCCTGTAAGCCATGCTGCGGAGCACAAATTTCAGCGGAATCTGAGAGCCGACTGTACATAGTTTGATACGTGGGCGGCTGGTCTTCCCGGAACACTCCTCCATATGAGTAATATCCATGGAAACTGGCTGCTTTTTGTTTAATGCTTATGAACTGTTCGTACTTTTTCACTGGAACGTTATCCGTTACGAACCTTAGCTTGCGTGCAATGCTTACGAGTAACTGCATGCCTATTGATGGATGCGAAATTCCTCCATGTGGACTTGTCAATGCGAATGTTTAGCATGTGTACTTTATACTTTATGAGCATTGCTTCCGAGCTTTTGCGTACATATTTTTGTCAATCGAATTCATTCCATTAGGAACCTTGGCGTGCGTGCAACCATGCGAATTTTTGTCAATGCCAATATTTCACATATACTTCATACCATACGAGTCTTTGCTTACGAACTTAGCGTACCTACTTTCGCCGTACGAACTTAGTACCTCACGCTCGTTTGTCTACGAAAAAAATGGTGTATTTACTTGATGTGCTTTTGCGTACTTAGCGCACTTCTTAACGCACCTTTCCATACGTGCGTTTGCTCTAAAATCATTGATTCAACGGCAGGCTCATCACACTATCGGGCGTCCATGTGTACGCCACCTGTTACTCCCTAAGCTGTCCTTCCGGTGCTGCGGATGTTGACGTTGTCTGCTCTGGTGGCTGGAACACTTTGCGGTGTTTGTATAGCGTTCTGCTGTCACGCCAGGGGTCAGAAGGCCTGGGATCATCAGCGGCACGTGGTTGCGAAATAGCTGTAGGAAGTAATCATTTGAATTTTTGTCTATGTTGCGATGATTCTAGTGACCTTCTTTGTTTCGCGTGTTAATGTTCCCGCGCTCGTGTCTCTGGTATTTGTGCGACATTTCCAGATGGCGTTATGGTCCATGTGTGATTACCGGCCTGTGTGGGAGTCTACGGCCGGGGCCCGTGTGTCTCGTGCCGTGCTGACCTCTGACCGCGTCCCATCCCGCGGCTCTGCCGACATCTGACCATACCCCACCCTGCGGGTCTGCTGACCTCTGACCGTGTGCAAACCCGCGGGTCTGCTGACCTCTGACCGTGTGCCAACCCGCGGGCCTGCCGACATCTGACCATGCCCCACCCTGCGGGTCTGCTGACCTCTGACTGTGTGCCAACCCGCGGGCCTGCTGACCTCTGACCGTGTGCCAACCCGCGGGCCTGCTGACCTCTGACCGTGTGCCAACCCGCGGGCCTGCCGACATCTGACCATGCCCCACCCTGCGGGCCTGTTGACCTCTGACCGTGTGCCAACCCGCGGGCCTGCTGACCTCTGACCGTGTGCCAACCCGCGGGCCTGCTGACCTCCGACCGTGTCCCACCCCGCGGGCCTGCTAAGCTCTGACCGTGTCCCACCCCGCGGGCCTGCTGACTTCTGACCGTGTCCCAACTCGCGGCTCTACTGACCTCTGACCGTGCCACAGCCGTGTTCTCGCTGCCGTTCGGTGCGGCGGCCGTGCTTTTCAACGACGGCGCGGCCGTGGCTGAGCACGGCCTGCTGCACGGCTACACCCGCTACACCTGGCTCGTCATCGTCCTGCAGGTGAGGTCGGCCGCTATGGCCGCGTGCTCCACGCTGCTGATACCGGACTTACCGTGCCCCATCGCTGAGTGGCTGTTGAGGAAGGGCATGTTTCGTTCGCCGTCTCATGTCGATGCCGTTGCGGTTCGTTTAGCCAGTGCCCACAATAGGGAGCTTTTGTCCACGACGTTGTGTGCCTGACCCGGGGTTTGAGTGACGGATGGTTTGACCCGAGCAACCCCTCATAGACCAGCTGGTGCTGGTCTGCCGGGAGCAGCTATGTGATAGTATCGTATGGTGGGTGCAAATTGGCCAATGTGGGTGTGAGTGCAGTGGGTGCAGATCCAGACTGATGGGAACGGCCGTTCCATGGGATTGTATGGTACTTGACTATTCCACAGCGAAGCTGTGTGCTCAATCGCTACGTTAGAATGAACTACTTGGTGGGATGGTTCACCGCACACGCAACAGACTGCCTAGAATGTGCTCTGCATCAAAGCCCTTGCAAAACATTCAGAATGCGCGGCCCTTTGTAACATGGTTTGGTGCACATTCTGCCAACCTTGCATGTGATAGGTTGCCCACAGCGATTGCAGTCATCTGCCGGATGTGAGGTGATGGCTGTGGCAGGCCGGTGGACGTGGCCGTCCCGCAAAACCGCAGACATCGGGTTACATCAGTGTTCCCCTTGCTGCATACCAGTAATCTCTTGGTTGGGAGAAAGCGACATGGGTAAAGTGGTTCTCGATGTAATTCTCTAAAGAGTACATTTTACTGTTTGTGTGTGGTCCCAGTTACTGCCGACTTGCCAGCTCGTCTCTGCGCAAGCGCGTCAGGTTAAGCAGTCGGATGCATTGTTGCGGTAATAAACACGGATGTAAAGTGAGTCGAGCTGGTCTCCGTTGACGTCTTTGTTGCGTCATGTGCTCGCTACATGGCGATGTGTGCCCCCTCGTCACTGGCGCCCACGCGACCAGTCTTGGTCTGCCGTCCGTCAGCTCTTCCTGGAAGCCTGTCAGGTCTGTCGTCTGTCGGGTACTCGGCGATGTGAATTTAACCACAGCACAAGCGAAGGCGGTGCTAGCAGAATCCGGCAACGTTTTTTATTCTTCAAAATACCAGCATCCCGACTTGCCCAGCTGTCTCCGGCACAGCCGTGCGGCCCGCGGGGCTGTGCTAGCTACACGCATTGTACATAAGTGGTGCTTTGCACCTCGCTTTAGATGCACGTCTGCATCCACTCTGGTTGCCGAACTGTTGCGGTACGCGAGCACGCATGACAACGGGTGCGTTTGTCGTGACCGATGATGTGTCGTGACCTGCCGCACTGTAATCGCACCCCGGCGCCACGCCATTCTCCATTCAGTGATCTGCCAAGCGGGTCAGCCTCTTGTAACTGCGGCTCGTGGTGGTCGAGATGTAGACATGGTTTCGAAATGCTGTTCGCCTGTCGCGCGCGGGTCATCTGTCACACCGCCAACGTCAAACCAGTGGGCTAAAGCCGCGCCTTGCGCCAGGTACCGTTCGCCGACCTGACCCGCGCGACACTTGCCACTGCGAACTCCGCGCGTGCATCGTGAGAAACTTTCCCCAGTCACCAACACACCATTCAGCCCGACTCGGCGAACGTAACTGAGAACGAGCGGAAAGACGCGCTTTCATCATATGGCATATAAGTCATCCAACATGCACTAGAGTTGTTAAATGTCTGACAATTTTAGCGCGCGGCTGCGGAGCGTAAGCCAGCATCTGCCCCCGCTTGGTTGTCTTTCGTGCCACAAACTTCTTTCGTGGCCAGCGAGACGAACCACACGATAGAACCAACCGCTTCTGCTCAAACATTGCCGGGGCATTGGACGCATCCAGCCGGAGGAGACCACTGTCTTCCCCACCTGACGCGCCGTAGCATGCCCGACGTCTGCGCTGCACACCGCCCGGTCTGGGCCCTCACGGCACGTCCCCCGGCAGGCGTTCGGTGGACCGCCCGTTATCGGCCCTTACGGCACGTCCCACGGCAGGCGTTGGGTGGACCGCCCGTTCTCGGCCCTCACGGCACGTCCCACGGCAGGCGTTCGGTGGACCGCCCGTTCTCGGCCCTCACGACACGTCCCCCGGCAGGCGTTCGGTGGACTGGTCGTCTCGCTGACCATGAAGTACGCCGACAACATCCTGAAGGGATTCGCCACGTCCATCTCGATCCTGCTGTCGGCGCTCGTCTCCTGGGCGCTGCTTGGCGACGTCCAGCCCAGCTGGTCGCTGGCGTGCGGCGCCGGCCTGGTCGTCTGTGCCACGTTCGCCTACGGCTACAGCCCGCGTCCGGCGCCGGCGCCGCCTCGCGCCCAGGTCGACTGAGCGGCGGCGGCGGCGGCGGCTGTACGGCGGTCGGCGCCGTCTGTGGGCTGCCTGGGGCCGGAGCACCCGTGACAGGGCCGGGCGCAGGGACGCCGGCGGCTCGGCTGCGGAGCAGCGACACGGTAGCAGCCCCGGCCGCTCCGCCGGACCACGCGGCGGTTGACCTGACTCCCTGCGGACACCGACCGACACAAACGGCATCGGAGCCTAGCGGCAGGCGAGCATGGCATCTCCGGTCTCAGTCATCGGACCACACCTCCCTGACCACGCCTGTCTAAACCGTCGTTTGTCAGCTTCCTCCTGGCACTCGCCCCTGGGTGTGTTATGCAACGCATTGGCGTTGACGGTGTCAAACAGATTTTGCAGTACGGCAAGGGATGAAAAGCAGCTTAATGACGTTAATCCTAGGCCGTCGTTACGTTATGCTAGACCATTATTTGGTATTTAGTGTGACAGTTGTTTTATCAAGCATGTTCTGCTAACTCGCTGTGTTTGGGATGCAACAGACAACCTCCCTTCTTGGTAACCACATGTTGTACCACATGGCAGAGTGAAATGGATGGGCTTCAAAAATCCCTACGTTATGCACCGTTGCAGTTCTCAGGTGGGCCTCGTCAGTCAGGGTCCGCTGGAACTGCTCCAGGTGTCAGCAGCTCTGGTTGTCAGGCGAGCCTCGCCAGTCAGGACCCGCGGGAGCTGCTCCAGGTGTAAGCTGCTCTGGTTCTCCAGCGGGCCTCAGTCAGGGCCCGCGAGAGCTGCTGCAGTTGTCAGCGGCTATGGTTCTTAGGCGGGCCTCGTCAGTCAGGGTCCGCGAGAGCTGCTCCGGGTGTCAGCGGCTATGGTTCTCAGGCGGGCCTCGCCAGTCAGGACCCGCGGGAGCTGCTCCAGGTGTAAGCTGCTCTGGTTCTCCAGCGGGCCTCAGTCAGGGCCCGCGAGAGCTGCTGCAGTTGTCAGCGGCTATGGTTCTTAGGCGGGCCTCGTCAGTCAGGGTCCGCGAGAGCTGCTCCGGATGTCAGCGGCTATGGTTCTCAGGCGGGCATTCGCCTACCCGGGCGGCGCCCCAGCACTCGCTCGGAGGCCGGACGGCTGGCCAGGCCTGAGTGGGGCCGCATTGTCGCAGAGGCATTGTCGCTCCCTTCTGGCGCAAACTCCAGGCTGGATTCTAGTCTCTGACAAACCAGTTAGTCGACTCTGTATGACCGTCGCTGTATGCCTAATGAAGGTTTCGTGGGACAGGACATGCACGCGCGCCGGTGCATTGATTGAAGGTGATGGCATTTAGGCGGGTGGCCTCCGAACACACGGCGAACGCCCTTGTGCCAGTAGACAGCCAGAGATACCCAAATTCACTGCAGTTGATAGCTGATGTCAGATGATGTGGGTGCTACTTGTATTATGCGTATCGCGTTAAATTTCTAGAATAACATCATTCCGAGAGGCTCATTAGTCAGGGTTTGTTCAATTCTTAAGTGAAGTAAGTGCACGCCCTTTCCCAGCAGCACAAAGTTTTAGGGCAGCAGTTACAGGTATGTGCGTGCTTATGTGGAATTCATCATATATGTAGTGTGGGTACAGTTCGTTTACAAATGGCCAGTGTATTTTACTCAGCTCATCATGCAATGTGATATAGCTTGTGACGCATCTGAGAGGACTGCTTTTCACGTCTGGCCGCTGGTGCTTGTCTGGGGTGTTTTTGTCTAGATCGGTCTTGAGTATTTGACCACATATCCGACTTCACCCGTAAGTTGGTTTGCCCTGCTAGTCTGGCGTTTACTTATATGTAGTCACGTGTGATGCAAGGTTGCGAGATCCGGGCCATGCGATTGTGCCATCGATTTGCGTCGTAGCTGGTTATCTGTTGCCTTTCATGTCGAGACCCGATCATTCGTTTGGCGGCATGATTACCGCACTGCCGTGCCTCAGGGGTTTCACACTCGGTTCCAATGAGATTACACCGTGTTGCCATTGTTTTATCTAGTCACAGCGGGGTCTTGCCTTCAGATTTGTCCTCAGTCATAACCGCTGTTTGGCATGATTCCCCGTCTGCACGCTGAAAACATCCGTCGCTAATGTAGACTGCAGGTGACGAAGTGTGAGTTGTGACCATGCGCTGCGTGTTTGCCGGGCTGGCCAATACACTCCGCCACGCGAGCGCGACCAGCTGTCTTTTGTCGGCGGCTGCCAGTACTGGCGGAGGCCACAGGAGTTTGCATGCGAAGTTAACTGAAGCCATGGTAAGTTAGGTGAGGCACTGGCGGCCGGTAGCATCGCCAGTGCCGCGGACCGGTATGAACCGGTATTAACCATCCGGTCAGCCCGACCATAACAGCGCCACATGGCTCAAGGCCAGCATGATCTTCACGAGGGTTGGCCCGTTTGGTTTCTGGAAGGCAACATGGCCGTTTTGACACCAAAACGGTCAGAACCGCCGTAACTGACTGCATGTTTTCTTTGTACCCGAAATCCTTAGTTCTCGAAGTGAGCGGCCGTTTTCCTTGAAAGTGATGCGAACGAATGCCGTGGAATGGTAACAGTGCTTCTTATTACATGAACGATCTCCGAGCATAGAGCCGCTCACAGTTCTGTGGTCCTCACTCAGTAGTGTTGATTGCGTAGCTGTGTGATTTCCATTCATTTGTGTTTATCGCGCAGTTGTGTAATTTCCAGTCAGTTGTGTTAATCGCGCAGGTGTGTGATTTTCACTCATTTCCCCCCCCCCCCCCCCCCCCCCGGCATGCCTGTATCATGATGTTACTGGCGCGCGCCTGAGGCCGCCCCTGCTTGCGCCGCCAGTGCTGCTGCACCTTGGTACGCCGCTGCCCCGACTGGCGGTGTACTGCCTGGGGCGCCGCCCGCCGGGGTCGGCGCCGCCCGCTCGCCCCGCGGGTTAATACAGTTGCCGTCTCGCAGCGCTCGTGTCTGGTCTGGGCAGACAGAACACGTAAGACTTGAATAATGCCTATCGATGAAAGCCGTCACGTTCAGGGTTGGCACAAAGCATGCGTGCCCTCGTTTAGCCTTCTATTGCAAGGTAAGGTAAATGACGTAATTTTTGTAAACGGAGGCCCAGATGCCCGCCCGGTGGCCCACCTCCCTCATTTTCTTTTTAACAACGGATTTAGCCCACTTTATTTTGGCAAAAAGATACATTTGTCTAATTCTGGTATTATATACCAAATAACGCTTAATTTGGTCATCATGGTAGTCGTGCAGGGGCGGATCCAAAGAGGTGGGGGGGGGGAGGGGGCAGTGTAGAAACGTACCCCTTCAGATCGGAAATAAAAAAACGCCAATTTAAAGACCGCCTGCGGGCGCCGAAGACGTTTTTCCGTAACGCCCACGAGCGGCGGCACGCATTTTTGCTTGCGGAAGACGGGGACGGGCTCAGGCAAGAACGACTTGGTCATTCCCGCGTTTCGGAGTTTTTCATTTTAATCCCTGGAGCCTTCAAAAGACGGTAGTAATAACCTTATTCCCCGGAGAAAAAACAGGAGAATAGAGAAAGCAGGTGCTTTGATGTTTCGGCAACATGCCTTTATTGAAACGAACAGCAGAACTTCCGCTATTCGTTTTGATAAAGTTGTATCGCCAAAATATCAACGCGTCTTTATCTCCATTCACCTGGTTTTTCTCCGATGAATAATGTTGTTACTACTGTCTTATCTTTAAGTATAATGGTCTTCGCAAACGCACTTGACAACTTACTCTTAACCTTCTTGTGTCTCATGACCTACGCGCGTGGAATGTGTTACTTCCTTTATCCGTTCAGCTTTTGCAGTTTTGGTCGTCGGTTTTCTGCATGCAACCATGTTTTATTAGAGTGGGAGCGTGGTGCTCTGTGTAGTGTTAAAAGTTCCATTTAAGACACTGTTTTGCTGTAATGTGCGAGCGGCGCACAAAAAGTCTGGTCTGAATTCGGCCTCGTACCACATTTTTTTAAAACAACTTTATGTCGAGCACCAACGGTTTATCCTGGCACATGATTTTTACGGTTACAAGGATCTTTCAGTTGAGTTAAGCAGTTAAGTACAAAAGCGGCAGGACTGCAGATGAAACAGCCTTCTCGAACCCCCTCGAGTTATGACATTCAGGTCGGCACCAAGTCAGGGACTGGTCAGCTCGAAGAACAGCATGCCTGGTTCACAGCTGTTGGCGCGGCGCATGTGGATCACGAATGGATAGGGCCCCAGAGTCATTACACTCGTACCACTGTCTCAAAAAGGGGAGTTTACGGTGGGCCTTGTAGTGACCCGAGTGCACCACGGCAGAATGGCTGATCACGCTGCACGGGCTGTACTTACAGTCCCTCGGTACGGCAGAGTATGGCGACAGGTTCAGACCACTGGCGGAAAAGTCAACAATGGTCATCATCTTGTCTTTGTTTTGAGCCCGCTGCAGCAAGAACCGTTTCATGTGCACTACAAGGATGCGCGAGAACCTCTGAATCAGGATGTTCTTCCGAGCCACTTCAAGCATGCGCAAGAATCCCTGAATCAGGGAGTTCTTCCGAGCCATTTCAAGGATGAGCGAGAACCCCTGGATGAGGAAGTTCTTCCGAGCCACTTCAAGGATGCACGAGAACCCCCGAATCAGGAAGTTCTTCCGAACCGCTTCCGACGTTTCTCGGACGTAAAGCACGTCGGCTTTTCATCTCCGTCAAGCACCTCTTGGCGAAAAGGTCAGGATAATCCTGTAATCGCACCTGGTCCCCTGGACGAGATCGGTGGGCTTAGGTCCAAGAACGAGTCGAACGGTATGGACTCGTGACCGCGGACTGCACCGCAGTGTGGACTAGACCTGCCAGACAAACAGATGAACTCGTGACCGCAGACTGCACCGCAGCGTAGACTAGAGTTGCCAGACAAACAGGTGAACATTTAGGTTGCGGAGGAGGAAGTGCAGGGCTCACGTTTATTGGACACAAACGAAAAGGCAGTGAAATATGAAATGACACACTTGTAT